CCCTTCCCCAAACGTCTCCTTGTGTTAAGAATTCACATCACCACACTGCATTTATCAAGACTGTGAGATTCACACTGATCTACCAGGTTTCTAGTCTGGGCACCAACTGCCTGTCATTGCCCTGCCCAGCATCTGACCGTTTCTCAGACACTGTTGGTCTCTCAGGATCTGGACATGTATGAAGCATAGTGGCCAGGCCTTTTTGTAGACCGCCTCTCCATTTGGGTTTGTCTGGAGTCTCTCCTTGATTAACCTGAGCTCCTCAACTGGATGGGAGAAAGATGGGCCTTGCTACTCCCGTACAGAGTTACAGCCTCGGAAACTCACGGGGCAGGTCCACCCCGTCCTGTAGGGTGGCTATGAGTCGGCATCAACTGGATGGCAGCGGGTTTGGTTTGGGGGTTGTATGGATCTGAGGGCAGAGTACTGCAGCAGTGAGCTGCGTGTGTGGTCACGTTCTATCAGGGGGCCCAGGAGAGCAGCATAACTGGTTAATGGTGACGTTGGCTTTGGCCACTTGGTTGAGGTCTCTCACTTGGCTTCTATACTAAGTTACTCTTTGCCTTGGCCGTTTGCTATTTGTTGGATGCCAGTCTTGAAGTCCACCCCATGGCCCAGGGAAAGGGAATTAAACCTTGCTCCCTGGAAGTAGGAGGGGCTCAGACTGTGTAGCCATACATTAACCACCACAGCTATGCATCACTATTTGGGGGGAGATGTACCAAGGCTGTGCAGATATCGTCTTTCTCACGGGAAAAAAAAATCCAACTCACTTCCATCAAGCTGGTTCCCTATTCATAGCGACAGTTTCCAACCAAGGGGCACAGGCCATCTTGTTTCCTGGTGATGCCATCACAGAAATACCACAAGGGGGGTGCTTTAAGAAACAGAACTTTATTTTCTCACAGTTTGTTGTTGGTGTTGCTAGCTGCCATGGGGCTGATTGCAACTCCTAACAATCTTTGTGACAGAGTAGCGCTGCCCCTTGTGGTCTTCCTGGCTGTCATCTGAATGTAGAAGGTAGAGGCCATTTCTCCTGGGAGTAGTCCAAGGTAGCTCCTCAAATTTATGGTCCTGGGACGTAATGGATGCAGATGAGGGCCTTGCTTGCACATCAGTGACTCACTCATTTGCTTGCAAGGGTAAGGTAAGTGTTAAGATAACGTCAATAGCAGATTCTATTTGCATATATTCTTCCCCACCTGGAAAGCTATATTTGAACTTGCAGTGGCCTTGTGTGAGTTGAAGGAAACAATGTGGCTGTCAGTAGCTTTGGCCAGAATTGACACCAGGGTGGATCACTTGGCTCTACCCTGAAGAGTCCTTGGGCCAGCGGTGCCCTTCTGCATTGCGGAATTCTCAACCAGCTGCTTTCTGAGTCGCCTGTAGTCGTTCTGCGTGCACACTTTGCTCTTAGCACTCTGAACGACTCTGTTATTGATTGATGATTGCTAATCACTGTAGCTAAGGAAGTTGACCCTCCTACGGGGAGATAAACACAGAAGGGGTTTCAAAGTGAATGTAAATCTGACAGATCTGTTTCCTCTCCCCTTTTCTCATCTTGGGTGGTGCCAGTCATTTGGAGAGGAAAGCTTGCAATACACCCCACCTGGTGGCAGCGTGCCCAACTGACGATGTGTTCTTGGAACAAAGCTGGTCTTTAAGGAAAGCGAGCTTGCCGATGACCTTCTCTAATCGGAGGTGAATTGTTGACATCTTCAACCTTTTCTTCCAGGACGACTTCCTGTTCAGCGTCTCCATTCTAAGTGGGATCCTTTGCAGTATCCTGGCTGTGTTGAAGTTCATGCTGGGGAAGGTGCTGACCAGCCGGGCACTCATCACGGACGGTGAGGAAGAACGGCCCATCTAGCTGACCGTAGGGGGTGGGGATGCAGTTGGGGGGGGGGAGTGCACGGCTATTGCTATCTGGGTCATTTGGGGAAGGAAATGCTTTGAAGTGCCCTTTCTCACCACTGCCCGCACCCCAAGTTGGTTTGTTCAGGAGTCTCAGAGTCCCCACATTAAGCATCCGCCTTGTAGTTGTTGTTGTTGCCACCCAATCAGTGGACAACAGAAGCAAACACTGGCCGGGCCTGCACTATCTAAACAATCGTTCTTATGTCCGAGCCCATCGATGCAGCCTCTGTGTCGTTCCATCTTGTGGAGAGCCTTCCTTGGGTCCCTGCCCCATACTTTACCAAACAGGATGTGCTTCTCAAGGACAAGCCAAAGTACATGAGACAAGAGCATTCTGACTGTTCTTCTTCCAACATGGACATTGGCCTCAGGCCCTGGAATGTAATTCTCCAGGGATCACCCCCAGCCTGGCCTCCGAATGGGGAGGCTCAGGGCACCCCAGCCTCTTAATCATGGAGCCCCTTAAGGCTTCTCGGAGTCTGGGATGCTATGTGCATCACTCCAAATCCACAGTGCATCAGAAGTAAATGTCTTTTCCGGATGCTGTGGAAGTTTTCATTGTGATTTCTCCATGGTTTTCCCTCCAGCCAATAAGAACCTCTCCTGGAAGAGCAAGCCTCAGTTAGCATGGTGCCTAGCTGGGGCAAGACCCCTGGGCTCCCCTCTGCTCAAAGCCCAAAGCAGCTGAAAGCGCCCCTCTTCCTCTATGGGCCTTTGGAATGAGAGAGAAGGTGCTGTGGGAGAGTAGGGAAAGTATTCCAGATCCTAAACTAGCATGCGCAGTGTGAACAAGGGATGCGATATACACATCGACTGACTGCTGACTGCATGGTTGGTAGTTCAAACCCACCAGCTGCTCCATGGGAGAAAGATGAGGCTGTCCACTCTGGTAAAGATTTAGTCTTGGCAACCTCTGTTGCCTAGGGTCACTACTCTGAACGAAAGGGTCACTGGGAGTCGGAATTGGCTGGATGGCTTCCGGCTTTGGCCTTTTTGGGTTTTCTTCATTCTTAAGCACATGCACTTCCCAGGCAGTCTGGGGAGTCTACAGAGTGGGGAGCCCGGGACCCAAGGGTGGGAGGTCACAGGCATATTGCTCGTGTGTTGGTGGCTATCGTTGCACAAAATAGGCAGGAAAAGTTGGATTTTTTTTTTTCCTTAGGAAAGGAAACACATTTGTTTTATTTTGTTTTACCCCCCCAAAACAATGAAAGTTCTCTCCTGTGTAGCATGCAGGATGCAGACATGGTTGACAGCTGTTAGTTTTGCTGTGGGTGGGAGGAGGGCTATGCAGAGGCCCCTCGCTCTCTCCCCCAGAAGCAGGCCAGCGGGGAAGAGACTTTTCCTCTGGGACTAATCTGGGGTCCAAGAACCCACAAAGGTGGGCAGAATGGTCTGCAGAAGTGCTGGCAGGTCTTGGGGTAGAGAGCCTTCTGCCCTTCTGTTTGGGGGATCTGATTCTCAGCCATGCCACTCACGTGCAGGCACCACCCATCTGCCACGAGGATTGTGCATTGCTAAGGGCCCAGCAGAGCTGACACTAGGAAGAAAGGACTGATTATCTTCTAAAAAAATCAACCAGTGAAAGCTCCATGCATCCCCGTGAGTAGGGGCTAGCTGTCCTTGCCCAAGACGCCTTTGTCTGTGACCTGAGCCTGCTGGCCTTGCCGCCCATGAATCGACTGCACTTCCTCTCAGGATGTGACAAGAGCAGCCCATCCAGCTTTTTAACCCCTGCTATCCCAGAGCCCTGGTGGTGTAGCGGTAACGCATTGGCTGCAATCGCAGGCCGGCCATTGGAAACCACCGGCAGCTCCGTGAGAAAGAGTGGGCTCTCTCCTCCTGTTACAGTTATGGTCTGGGAACCCCACTTGGGCTCGCTCTGAGGCAGCTTTGACTCGATGGCTGGGAGTCAGCAAAACAACCGTGACAACCCCATGGGCATCAAGTCGCTTGGTGGTGCAGCACTAACGCCGTCAACTGCTGGCGGAGACGTTGGCAGGGCGCGTTCGTTCGCAGGAGGCCAGCAGAGGAAGGAGCTGGTGGAAAAGCCAGTCCGCAGTGCCCGCTGGGACACAGATCTCCTCCCAGTGCCCGCAGGCTCGCTGTGTGCTGCAGCCACAGCAACTGGGTAAAGAAAAGCCCGCACGTGCCTGCATCTGGGTGGGGGGTCCCTTTGAGCACTTGACATCCTGCGTGCAAACCCACCCCCAGCCCGTGCTGCCCAGTGGCCCACCATTAGGAGGGCGGCATCAGTGTTTGTTAAAAACCGATCCCTGCACTTCTATCCTGAGGAGTCTGATTCTGGGGCTTGAGGTGGGCTTAGGAAGTAATATTTGAAAGCAATGTCTCAGCTCACCTGCGTGCCAGGCAGCCTGCGGGGACCAGACAGAGCATCATGGGGGTGGGGGCAGGCTCTGCGACCTCCAGTGCTCCCACACGCCATCACCATCATGACCAGCAGCTCTCAGCATCCTCCCTCAAGGGACCCTTTGAGGCAGTAAGTCCCTGCTGTGGTGTCTGCTCTGACAAGAGCGCTCCTCCTGGAGGGGGCGCCCCCCTCTCTCCCAGCTTCTCCATCTCACCCATTTAGTTGACTCCAATCAAGAGACAGGAAGCAGTCCCCCCACCGGCCACACACCAAGACAGGTGCCCTGGCACCCCCTGCCACGGATCTGGGCAAGACCCTCATCTTCTCAGAACCATGGGCCCTCTGCCACGGCTGGGGGTTCCCGCCGGGTGGCATTCATCTTCACGAAGCTTCTAGTTGCGTGGCACTGGTGGCTCAGTGGGAGACCTGCCTTTGAGTCTCAGCCAGTGCACCTCACGTGCGGGCACATCCATCTGTCAGTGGAGGCGTGTGCATTTCCACCATACTGAATGGGGTTCCGCAGAACAGACACTAGGAAGAAAGGTCTGGCGGTCTTCGTGTAGAAAACCAGCTAGCGAAATCCCGTGGATTGCAGTGGTCCTGGGGTGCCCACGAGTTGGCTGGCATGACCGTAGCTAACAAGAACCACACATTTCTATAGGTGTTTCACATTTTTTTTCTAACTTCCCATTGTCTTATTGGGTTTGTAAGGAAGATCCCTTGATAAGGTTTTTCCTAAGGAAATCGCTTCAGGCGCTATGATTTTTTGCACAAAACCATCCCCACACCTAGGCAGCTTCCCCAGCACACGGGAGGAGTCATTACACAGAGAAGTAGAGGATTTCAGTCAAAGCTGCCCTATAAGCAGGGCAAAAGATGGAGGAGTGTGCCCACTGGCTGAGGAAACCCCTTGGCAGGAAAGCTGGGCATGTGGGGGCTGGCTTATCTGGAGGGCAGGGTGGGGTGGGGAGCGGCGGGCGAGGGCACACTAGGCAGTGAACCAGGGTCAGGACTCTGGGTCAAGGTTAGGGTTTGGGATGTTTAACACAATACACCGGGCAGCCTTGTTAGCAGATGCAGTAAGATGATAGATTCAGAGTGCTCTGGTTGATGAAGAGGGGCCTGGTGGCGTAATGGTTATGTGTTGGGCTGCTAACTGCAAGGTCAGCAGTTCAGAACCACCAGCTGCTCCAGGGAGAAAGATGGGGCTCTCTACAGTTGTGCCCTGCCCTATAGGGTCACGGTGAATCAGCATCCACTTGATGGCAGGTTTGGTTTGGGTCTTGGTTGACAACGATGGGGTGGGGGCCATGAGTGTGGGGTATACACGTGTGCACGTTCCCGTGAAGAAAAAAGTCAGAGAGCGAGAAAGACGGAGACTGGGCGATTGGTGGATCGAGAGGCTGAGTGCCTGCTGTGTTCTAGCGAGATCCAGAGATCTCCTCCATCCTACAAGCCCCTCCGCACACCTCACCTCACCTCACCCCTTGGGTGTGCTCTGTGATTCCTGCTCGGTGGCAGTGTTGGCAAAATATGCGGCAGTAATTAAAGCCTCCTACTAATTGTATTGTCTAGGAGCTGGGTTCCTCCTTCACAGACTAGCAGAATTAGGGAACGATGTAATTAGTTCCTCTTACTCTAGGAGGCTGCTAAGAATAGGATTGGGGGGTAGGGGGCAGATCACCTTGTCCAGAGGGTACGGGTTCTCCCTGCGGTGGTTTCGGAATGGGTCTCTGGAGGCCCTTGAAGTTGGAACGCCAGGCATTTCCTCTCTAAGAAGGAAGCAAATTCAGCAGGCTGCTTCTCCTGCAGGGAGGGAGGGGCAGAGTCTTCCCCTGCCAGGTGTCTGATTCACCCACTGCTGCTGTGTGTGAACAGACCCCTGGATCCTTTTATTGAGATGTGCCAGAGCATCAGGCGGTAGGGGACTTGGAATGGGGTCAACGGGTTTAAATTTGGGACCACCTCATGGTATGCGACACAGTAAATCAGATCTAATGTGATCTTGTTGTTTTGGGTGCCGGGCCTTGGCTGAAACTTGCCTTGTATTAGTATTAAGATAGAGTGAGTTTTGGGGACAGCCCATTAATAGCAAAACTCCGATGAAGGTTGTGAGATCATTCAGGGACAAGTCCTGACCTAGGGGCCAGGTGTCCCAGGCACACTGCCTTACGAGAGCTGGCACTGAACTGTGCCCTGCTCTGTCATGACTAAAGGCGAGCGGGGCAGGCAGTGGACCTTCATGGCCCTCTCAGCAGGGTGTGGTTCCGGGTACTTTATCAGGTGAGGGCTGGTGTCCTTCCCTAGTCGTGGGCACTGGTCCAGGGGAGCTGTTTGGTGGAGCTGCGTGGCCATCTAGTGGCTGCCTAGGGTAATTGCACACACTCTGCCATCTTCCCAAGCGCCCTTGTCACTGGGCTTCTCTGTGTGCCTAATCCTGCTACAGGGAAGATGGGGAGGGGGGCCTGAGGAGACCTGTCTGCCCTCTCCATCCCTGGGTGGGCCGGCGGTTAGCCCTCTCACCGCCCTTTTCTCAGAGCAGCCACCAGTCCTGCGCCTGGCAGCGTGCGAACAGGCCCCTGGATCCTTTTATTGAGATGTATCAGAGCATCAGGAGGTAGGGGACTTGCAAAGGGGTCTTGAATTTGGCAAAAATATGGTGTCATAGATGCAGTTTCCCTGGGGACAGACCAGGGCCTGTTGTTGGTGGAATTTCTGGCAGTAGATGAAGATCCAGTTGTCAGACTTCTGGGGACCATCGGGGCTTCTCTGGGGTCACGTCAGGCCGAGAAGACAAGGAGCCTCGTGACTCACAGCACAGGAAGGTCTAGAAGCCACAGGTAAAAATGGAAGTGTAATCTCAGCTGTAGGAGCCAAAGGAGGTGACATGTGAAAGGTCAAGGTGGCCAATAGCTGTTAACACCATTTCTATGTTTATTGCCATTCCCATCCCCCCTCCCACACATGCCTCCCTGTGGCTGCTTCTAGACTTTGTGGTTCTCTTCCTGGAGAGAGCGTGAAAAGAATTGGGTTACTTAGAGGAGTCTATGTAAGGGGTGGGGGGGCACACCCATGACCGACCGCGCTTATACCGTCCTCCGGCTGCTTGCATGTTGCTGTGAGGATGGACTAGCCACCCTAGAGTCAGTGCGCCAGGATTTACAACCACAGCAGGCCTCCCACCGGGAACCCACAGACTGTTTGCTGCAGTGCTGGGACATGAGCCCCTAAGGTGGAAGGCGTGTGCCAGGCGCTGCCGTCAGGAGCTCAGGAGGGGGCAGCACGAGGTCCCCATGTGTGCGAGTTGACTTGCTGACAGCTTACAACGTGGGGGGACTAATACGGGCTCCGGTAGAGTCCCCGCTTCTCCGCTTGTCGAACCTCCACTCAGGTGTTTCCCCTCACTCGGCAGCCCTGGGGGTGTAGCAGTGACATGCTGGGATGCTACCTGCACGGTCAGCAGTTTGAAACCAGCAGCTGCTTTGTGGGAGAAAGACGAGGCTTTCTACTCCCATGAAGAGAGACAGGCTCGGAATCCTATAGGGGCAGTTCTACCTTGTTCGTCAGGGTCGTTGTAAGTCAGCATCAAGTTCCTGGCTGTGTTTTTTCATCATGTAACTTTCTCATTGACAGTATGGGGCCATCAGTCTGATTTTATAGGATTGAGATTTATATGCCATGACACATATATAAGATGGTACTTGGCCCAGGACACATGCAGCAGATTTCAATCAATAGGAAGTCAGGTGCTTACTGTGGGGGGACTGCGAATTCAACAGGAAGCCGATCCCTGCCCTGGGATGCTTGCATGTTAATGGGTGTGGGAGGAAGGAAACCAGCAGTCCCCAGACACCTACTTCAGCTGATGATCCTAAGGGCCTGGCAGGAAGCCAAGCACAGGGGAGGGAAGCATGTGGGGGGATTCACCGGTGGAATTCTCACTTTTCCTGCAGGAGACCCAAGTTCCCCTCTCGGCCAATGTCCCTCCTGCGTAGCCACCCATCTGTCGGGGAGCTGGTGTGTGTTGCT